GATGACATGACGGTGATTTTATTAAATTTTCTAGTTTTTTCATCACATCTTTATCTAGAAGAATATAATGGATTACTCGTTGTGTGTATATTATGACGCAAATTATTGTAAGCAAGTAATATTTATTATTGATAGCGATTCAAATAAGAGATTTTAAATATAACTTGATTGTAAACTAGATTAAAATTCAAAGTTAAAACCTAAAAGTAAAGATTATTTAGATATAAAAGTAAAAATATATCTTATTAACAAGTTATCTTTATTAACAAGTTAGATATGTTGTAATTATTAAATAATAATAACAACATATCTAATTTATCAAAAGATTTGTTGTATTTATTATTTAATTTCAAAAAACAGCCTAATTTTTTTTTATTAAAAAAAGGGCAAAGTTTCTACTTTTGTTTCCGTGCGTAATATTCAAAAGTATTTGAATTTTAAAAGATTACTTCCATACCGTTTTGTGATTTGGCGTCTGCCACTCAAGTTAAACATGTTTTTTGTCATTAATTTCCATGACAAGTAATATTGCTGTCTCAATCCTGGTTATTGTGATTAGTAAGCTTGAGAAGCTCAATCCTGGATATTGTGATTAATAAGCTTGAGGAGCTCAATCCTGGATATTGTGATATGGGAACTATTGAAGAACTTTATTGATTCCTTTTTACTTTCTTGCAAGATATAAAGGGTTCATTTTTAATTATGATGAGCAAAAAACTAAAGCCTACGTTGATACAGAAGAGTACACTATCGGTATCAAGCGCCATTCGCGTTCAACGATTGGGCAAGAGAAAATATTGGCACTTTCAATCCTTCACATTGAAAGTGAAATGTTAAAAAAATTTTACAATGAGAGATTGCTCGTTTTTCTGAATTCAAATTTCGTAAAAAAAATTTACGATTTTGGTTTCATAAAAAATAATAGTTTTTGGGACCTAAGGCTATTTTAAAGCAGACAACCCTAAACTACCAGAATGTACTAAAATACGTCTAAAAAAATGATTTTTTTTTTTAAAATTGTGAGGTCTAGAGCTATCGAATAGGCAAGCAGTTAAAATCTAAAATTAATTTCAATCAACAGAAGAAACTTTTATCGTAATATTTATCATAATACTTATAAAGACAAATTCATGCTCATTACTTAAAGAGATAAAAACAAATGAATAAAAGGTGGAAAGCATGGTCAAAAAATTCATGCTCATTACTTAAAGAGATACAAATGAATAAAAGGTGGAAAGCATGGTCAAAAAATATCAAAAATATCAAGTTTTTAAATATAACATTTCTTCCCATTTTTAGACGTGTTAAACCCGATAGAATTACTCATCTTTTATTAGAAACAATGTTAAGTTTTCTAATTTTTGTTTAAATAAGTTTTTTTTTTTTTTTTTTTTTTAATGTTGATTTTAGGTACCCCAAGAAGTCCTTACGGTCTTATCACAGAGCACCGCGGTTACTACGAAGTAGTCCTTAACAACGACATAATAACGAAGATAAACATCATCTATTGGTTCTTATTGAACTGCTTAAGGAAGAATTTTAGAAAATAAGGTAAACGTTATAAATCTAACCACTTTTGTGTGATAAAATATAAAATTACTACTTGTCATGTGTTGTGTTGTAAAAAAAAAAAACAACTTTTTAATAGTAAGTTTTGAAAAAGTAAAAAATGTATATTTTTTCTGGGCCATTTGAATTTGAGTATGTGCATAAGCTGAAATATCCATTAAAGTCAATGGCTGAAAATGTTTGGAACCCATCGGATTGAGTTCTAGTTTCAGGTAATAAAATAATAATAAAAAAATAATAATATCGGAAATAAGATTTTGATTTAAAAGCATTTTAAATTTTGGGCTTTCAATATTTTCAGTCTTTGACTTTAATATATATTGTAGATATTGTACCTACACAAAGTCAGCCCAAAGAAAAAATTTAGTTTTTACTTTGTAGTCCATTTCTAAAATGTGTTAGTAAAATATATTATGATGGTTATGTTAAAAGAAAAACTCGAAAGGTGCAATCAATTGTTGCTTCTTTTAGTGGTTTATCGCCATATAAAGTCTTATCACTAAGCAGAATTTGTGTGCAGTGTGAGAATTGTGTTAACTATTCAAATTTTGGTGAAAATATTTAAATATTAACTCTTATTCTAAACGTTTGGTAAAAAAAAAGTATATATTTGGAGTGAATTCAGAGTATCAGAGAGAATAGTTAGGGTAGTAACAAAAATTACAACAAAAAGTGGAATCTTAGGACTCCATAATAAATGCTGCAAAGAAAATGCCAGAACACGTTAAAGAAGAAGTTTTGAAATTATATAAACACGAGACCAAAAGCAGAACCTTTGTCAAAAAAAGTAAAAAAAACTACTGTTGCTTAATTTAAGGGAACTTTTAGCAAAGTATAGTTAAAAAAATGAAATGTTTAACATAGTGTATAAACAAGTATAAATTAACCAAAAAGTGCTATTTTTATCGAACGCGTCTCTTAGCGACACTCTAATGATTCAGACACAATGCTTTATTGAAGGTCAATTTTTTATTGCAGACTCTACGCAGAAGTATCAGCGCACATTGCAGCTGTCGATTGGGAAACGGAGTTCAATGGTCTAAATGCAAATTATTACGACTAATTTTTATGGTAGTAATACGCACAAAATTTTCAAAATATCACATCGCATTGCATACAAATACGTTACCAAAGTGATCAAATCTGCGAGATACAAGTACAAAGAGCAACTCGTTAGAAATTTAAAGAGTGACTCTAAACCCTTACTTACACATCTACGAAGCAAAAAGAGCGTCAATAACACCATTACATTGCTAGAAACAAACAATAGCAAAATCACCGCCGATATCGTCGAAATTTGCTCATTGTTGAATAGCTATTTTTAATGAGTTTTTTTGTTTTAGAGCTCAAAGGTCTAATGCTAGCGTTTTAAAGTCGTACTCAGTTTTTAAATTCAGTTGCACTCAATCCTTGATAAATACGCAGCTGCCTTTGCAATACTTTTTTTGTTGACCTAAAAGTGCACGTTTGTAGTTCTCAACTTTAAAAGAAAATGTGGCTCCTATTTTTAAGAGGGGAAGTAAACTTTCCTTTTATACTTCCCCTCTTAAAAATAGGAGCCACATTTTGAACTGTCAACTTCATATTACTATCAAGTTCACAGTTTCTTCCTTACCAATATTGCTTATTGTGCTGGAGCCAGAAAGATAACTAAAAAGTAAGTTTGAGATATCCACCAATAAACAATTTATATCCACACAAAAAAAGATATAAAAAGTCATAATGAACGGTTGAACAAACAAAATATTCGTATTTATTTGTACTTTTATTTCGTTGTAAAAGTCGGCTGAGACTGTTGATAGTCATTACTTGATATTATTAGTGGTTAAAACCAATTTTGATGTTGGTTTTTGGGATTTTCATATATCTTTTGATGAGATTTTTTTTTTAAGTGCCTCAAGAAGTCCTTACACAGACTACTGTGTCACAGAACACTGCGAATGAGTTTACGACTCCTTCCTAACCGATGTCACAAAACTTGCCTAAAGATGTGGTTTGAACCACGGATCCTTTGTTTTTGAGGCAAGTGCGCAACCACTGCGCTGAGGCTGCTTACGATTCAGGTTGAGCCACAAACAACAGTTTGTTTGAGGCAATTTGAATCTGGAAACAAACTTTGTCTAAATGATTTTTTTAACAATTCTCAATCTGTTAAGAGAGTCAAATCTAATTATTTTGTATTAATTGCATTGCATTGAACAAATTCCAGAGTGACTCTTTGAAGTTTTCCTAAAATACACCTTCTAGGCAGTGGTTTAGTATTGATATAAAACAACTGATTTAAGGTACTAAATGGACACTCAAATAAAAGAATGACTCAATTAGAGCAGACATAATTTCAAGATAAAAAAAGAAACATTCTACACTACAAGAGTATCCAAATACGCTACAATTTCATAATTAATAAAAAAAACTTGACAAAATATTAATTTGGTCCAAAACATGTCGCAATAAGCGCGATGGATGACATTTAAAAGAGTCTTTTTTTAAAATAAACACAAGAAACTCTTTTTTTAATTTACTAGTTCTCAAGATTAAATATTATCTTTATATTTTTTATAAAAATATATTTTATAATAAAATTTACTACTTTTTTATAATTGTGATCAAAATATTTTTCGTATCTTATATGAGTGGGTCAAAAGCCAAGGGGTACAAGTGACATTTTCATAGTTTTGAGATACAGCTGTTTAAAGTTAAAGTATTTTTGTTAAATATACTCAGCTGTTGTTATGTTTTTCCAGTAGAAAGCAGCACAGGGCAGAGATTTACTTGTATCCCTTGGCCACCAACAATTTTGTTTGCTTCTTCTATCAAATTCTATACTTAACTTAATTTTGGTAAAATTGTCACTTGTACCCTTGGCTTCTGACCCACTCATATGTATTTTATTGTCTAATAACGGAAAAAATTGTCTTTTTCTTCCAGTTATTAGACATAATAAGACCTAATTTGTTTATGAGTGAGTTTTTTATTACCGATTTAACGATTGAGAATCAGCATTATTCAGAAAAAAAATTATACTACCGATTTTTCAAACAAAAAAATATAGTCCACGGCTACACAAGCAACATTCAACATTGCTATATTAGCATGACATAACATTAAACATTACAGATGCAACCGCGGAATATACGGACTATTTGCCAGTTAACCTAGTATTACCTAGTGCAGTAATTACGAGATACTAGATGGGTAAAGAAACAGTTGACTCTTATAAAATTTAACGAAACATATAAAAAATTTAGTACTTCATCAACGCCAGCATTTAGTGTCAATTATTTCAATAAAACACATTTAAAATATAAATACGAAAGTTTTATTCATTTTAATACAATTAAGTGAGAGAAGTCATTAATAAACCACTATTTTAATTAAGAGAAGTTATAGACTCTCGAATTTAGTAACTACGTTGAAAAAAAAAGTGGAAGTCAAACACTTATTTTTATTTTTTTAAATTTTGCCTCCATTTTTTTATTACTCATTAGAAAATGTCAAGTCATTCATCGATTTATGCATCGCTAGCTTTTAATTGTAAAATGGCAAAAGCAGCAACTGAATGCAAAATTAGACAAACAATAACCTATCTGCCAAAACTACCACCCACTCTTTCGTCTTGCCAACGATTAACACCACCATTCCATCTATCTCTTGGAATATCGTGTCTATCTTGTGTGGGAAATCGTTCGTTAATAAAGCGATCGTTTGGCCTATCAAAATGAGGTCCGTTTTCAAATACCGGCCCATCCATTCGATAATTTGGTTCTCTCATTTGTGGGTTCTCAAAATGCCTGTCAAAAAAAGGTCCGTTATGAGGTCTATCGAAAAGACCATCCATTGGTCTGTCAAAGGGAATATCATTAATAATAGGATCATTACGAAGATGCGGGTGAAATGGATGGCTGTTATTGAAGTTTCTGTTTTCGGGATGAAATAAGTCTATTCTTTCTGGTCCGTTAAAAGACCGACGATCATCAAATCTTGGTCTTTCGAAGTTTCCAGAATGAAGATGAGGAGGTCTACTAAAATCTCCGCCATGAGAGTTCTGACCGGCAGGTCTATCAAAACCATCCAAGTGAGGTGGTCTGTTATCGTGAAATGTTTCGTTTCGTCTAAAATTATTAATTGGTTCAGCAAAGCGTAAACCGTCATTACTTGCAATGTTAAAGTTATCAACATTCCTCTGCATAGTATCACAATCAATGTTCATAGGTTCAAAATCACCATTGTTAATTACATGATTAACTTCATTTTGAAGTGGGCGTTTAATATCGCAAGGTCTGCCGGGTCTTTGCTCTAATTGTTGTCTTTTTATATCATCCATAAATGGGACGTCTTTCATTTCGTCATCCCATTCGTGAGTTGTTAAAAATGGCGGAGGAGCAATATCAAGATCAAGTAATGACGGCGCATTCGGGTTTTCACTAGTGGACGGTTGACGACCTAAAAAGAGAATAATTTCAGTGAAGAATTAAAAAAATCAATAGATAATGACTTTTAATGGATGACTAAGAACATTACAAAAAAAAAAAAAACTTTGCAACTGCATTTTTGAATAAACCAAAAAAAAAAAATGTTTAATCCGCACAAGTTTATTTTTGTGTCTATATTAAATATTTATAAATTAAAAAAATAACATTTTTTTTTATAATTAAAACCTTAAAAGCTTTTAATTATAAAAATATAAACAAAGTAAAAAATATAATTAAAGTGTTATTTATTTTTTTTTAATATAATTCACGCGTTATTTATTTTTTTAATTTAAAAATATTTAAAAGAGAACATAAAATCAAAATTACCGCGTATACCGTGTTTTTTAAAAGATCGGTATTTTATCGATGGGTTATCAAAATTACCGCTCTTTATATACCAAAAAATTGTCTAAGTTCAGTCGCCATGTAACATCGGTCATTTAAAAATAAATAACAAAAATGCATGCTTATTTTTAATTAATTTTTTTTTCTTTTTTTTTTTTTTTAACAATATATTTCGTACATAAGAATCATAAAAAAAAGATGTTTATTTGAAATTTGCTGAAAAAATTCGTTTGAAAAACAAGAATTTTGAAACTATGCATACTATTAAAATCTAAAATAAGCATTGAATAAATAAATCTAAAATAAGTATTGAATAAATTGATCAAATTTAGCACTTTTCATCAAGTCACCAAATTAACTAAATTTGAAACAAAATATTTTGATTTTCAAATCTTTGCCTTCAAAATCAGTGAAATTTTAAAATACTATTTGGATCACTTATGGATTACGCGTAACGCGTCACTAAACGATAAAAACAACAATTAACATGAATGTGGCATATGTAATTTGTGAAAAATGTAACTTTAGTGAGTCAATTACAAAAAATATATATATCTAATTGCACCGCGCTGAAATAATTTGTTCGCAAATGAAAATTATGAAATTGAGGTTATTATCAAAACTTCAAATAAGCGAACTCTGAAAGTAATGATAAAATTTAAAATTAGAACATTTATGATTTATTGTTTTTGCGAAGTATTAATCGGATCCTAAATTTGTGATTGCGATGTGTTATTGGGATGTTAAATTCGTAATACTGTTGATAGAAATGTATTTAGTGACCGAACTAATGAGTTGGTATTGAAAATCTGGTCAAACTAATCGTTCTCATTTCAAATAGAAAATCTTATGTTGATTTTGATTTTTGTTCTTTTATTTTTACCATATATATTAACGGTATAAATGTCTATATAATTAAAAAAAAAGTTTATTAATGCTTGGGATATGAATGTTCAAAGCCCAAGTGACCAAACTTAGGCGATTTTACGGTTTATATACATATAGATTCATTTAATTTAAGACAAGTAAATAAAATAAGTACATACCCCTTGAAAGATGACGTTCACGCCGCTTTTCAAGTCTTTCTACTTCTTCTATAGCTTTTTTCTGCTTACTTGGATCAATTTTAAATGTGATAGCTGTAGTACGTTGACGAGGTACAGTGTATATTTGAGCCTAAAGAATATTTAATGTATTACTATACTACCATTTAGGTCAAAAGACACTGCTTGCTTACACCCTAATACAGGTAACTTATTTGCCTTTACCATAGAAAAAGTTGAAAAAAATTAGTTCAAAAACAATTTTTTTTTTTTTTTGTAAAACACCAATATAATTTATTTAAAATTTTAAAGGCAACGAACTACAATTACTTTTTATTTTTTCAGTTTATAGGCTTTTGTTAAAAACTTTTTAACTTTACGCCAAATTATCTCATTTCAATATATTTGTTGTATAGGCTGGTTCGGCACTAAGTTATCTGTATCACCATTTTGTGAATCATTTAACTAGAAGTAAAATAAAAAAAAATAAAAAAGATGTCAGTTGAATACTATATAATACCTCTTGATAAGTAGCCACAAACAGAAGATTATTTTAGAATGATTTCAAAGCTAACTATGTTTAGTTTTTAATAGCTTAAAAAGAACTTTTAATTCTTTTTATTTAAATAAAAAGAATTAAAATCAATAGATTTATTGGAGTTGTATAAACATTTAAAGCTCTCAATCATGTGCATTTTTCTGAGTCATGTCAAAATGAATCAGTCAATACAAGTACACTTACTGCACCTTAGTACTTAAACTTATTGCAGCTTTACCAAAAGTAATTCATTCAATAAATGTATACTCAAAATAAATGTATACTTAAATACTTGTAATAAATTGAAAATAAACAGTATAAAACAATGACCACAAATTTTATAGTTGTGTTTGTTGTATTGTGGATCAAATAAAAGTAGTGTCATTTTTTATTTCACAGGCTTTTTTTTTGTTTACCATTTGTAGTAATATATTTTTAGTGCATACAAGTAAAAAGCTCTTCTTTGCCAGAATTTTTAATGAAATTCGCAGGTTTTTATTTATACTATATGTTTTAGATAAATCAAATAAACGGTGCTGAAAAAATGTTTTCCTCTCAAAGAATTTTTTAAACTGGGACATTTTATAATATTTTATTAACTCATACAGTAAGTGTACATACAGAGGTCAAGATTTTGGATAGAACTTTAAGTTTAAAGAATTAACCCTATAACGCACAGTAACATATGTTACAATTACATAATAGCAACTTCTATTGCTGAATAGCAAAAAAAACGATATCCTGGCATGACAATTCCTTAAGATTATGGTTTATTTTTAAAATATACTTAAGGAAAAGCATTTTATAAAAGTTTACTATTTTTTATACTCGATTTTATCAGCATGTTTTTTGTCAACTCTTTTTACACAATCAGTCAACATTTTAAGAAAGCATAACATTTAATATTTTTTTTAACATAACATTTATCTATAATTATATAATATTATATTTTTAATAGACCTATTTTGTTACATTTTTTTTATTTTTTAACTAGATATAACTAATGCTAATAAAAATTATTAGCCTACCTTATGCAGTATGAAAATTATATTAATTACTACTCAACTTAGACATTGTTATTTTTTGAAAAATTTTAAAGGTAACTTAGGTTAAGTTTTATTATTTTATGGATTGGTTATCAAAGCAACATGGCTTTGAATTCTAGGCAGATGACAGTTAATGAAGTACAGTTCTTCATGAACTATAATGATGTGGTTTCAAAAAAATGAGTTTTTGAAACCACGCATGATAACTTAAGAATGACCATCCTGTCAGCGCTTTTTTGCAGGCTGGCATTAAATTTCAAACGGAGAAGACTTTTTTATTTTACACTGAGTTAAATCAATTAAGATTCATCAGAAATCGTACTTATATATATATATATATATATATATATATATATATATATATATTTCATACATATATATATATATATATATTTCATACATATATATATTTCATACATATATACATATATATATATATATATATATATATATATATATATATATATATATATATATATATATATATATATATATATATATATATATATATATATATATATATATATATATATATATATATATATATATATATATATATACATATATATATTTCTGTGGATTTAGGATTTATATATATACATTCATAGAGTATGGATTATATATACATATATACAGCATACATGTATGTATGCATATATATATATACACGCACTCACAAAATAACACACATTCACACAATAACACACACTCACAAAATAATTGCAACACATACAGGAGTTTCTTTGCTGTTAGGTTTTTGAACTTGAAGTGTTGCTTGCTGCAAAAGAGCTTGTATTATAGGTGATCGTAGCACTTCAGAAATACCCATTTCTTGCTCAACTAAGTAAACAAATCAATATATTTTAATTTTTGACTTTATTTTAGATATATTACTATAAAAATAACACTATATGCCTGCATAAAATTAAACAGACAGTCAACAATTGTAAAACGAAAAAATTTGTTAAAAAAAAAAAATTTGCGTAAAAAAATTGCTTTGTCTAAGGTATTAGTAAATGATTGTTTAAAGGTATCCTGCAAACATAAAATCTTCAAAAATTCTAAAAAAGTTTTTTTATATCTAGAAAACAAAGGTTTATTTAAAAAACATTTTTTGCTGCAAAATACTAAGATTTTAAAATTTTTAAAATTACACACACCATTATTTCCAACTAATTCATTACACACACCCTTATTAACAATTAATTCAATACACACACCATTATTAACAATTGATTCAAACTCAAATCATTTTAAAACTTTTAAAAAATGAATAAAGACTTTTTTTTCTTTTTTTTTTTAAAAAAAAAAACCAAATGTTTTTAAAAGCAACTTTTTGATGTGTACAAGGTGTTATTTAAAACAACAACAACAAAAAAAACCTTTAGTTGATGTAAGATTTACAATTGATCCAGTCAAATTTAAAGAAGAATCAACTGATGTAGACTCCTCACTTTGTGTCATTGTAGGCAATTCATACTCTAAATAAATAAAGAAAAAAGACTATATAATATATTATAGATTACATTTTATAGAAAAAACTAATGAACAATAAATAGTATATTTAAAATACAAAAACTATAAATATATAAATCATAATAGATATAAATTATTTAAAACATAGCTCACACATAACATTTTTTCATGCTAACTGTAGGGAAAAAAGTGTTGTTACAAAGAACATATTGTAGCCTCTTTTAGAAGAGCCTATTTTTAATTATTTGTTTGATTTAATTAAAGTGTCTGCATTTTTCTTTAACAGGTTTTATTTTTTGTTAAAGATCTTTTATTAATACCTTCTTATCTTTTTATATTTTATTAACATTTTTCTTATATTAACCTTTAAAATTCCTATCTACTTTCTAAACGACCTGACAAGTAATTAAGTTATATTAATAAATGGCTGAAACAAGTAGATTTAAGCAAAATTTAAAACATTACTTTCAACTTTATTTAAATAAATTTTGCATTGTTCATTAATTGATCAACACTTAATTTTGAGATTGTGGTTCAATAATAATGAAGTAATAAAATTATTAAACAAAAACACTTATTTTTGAGATTGTGGTTCAATAATAATGAAGTAATAAAATTATTAAACAAAAACACTTACTTTTGAGATTGTGGTTCAATAATAATGAAGTAATAAAATTATTAAACAAAGAAACATAATAATAATGAACTACAGAAATAAAAAACGTTTATAAAAGTTTAGACATTAGCTATTAATAATATGAATACAATGAAAGACTAAAAAATAATTATCAACACCCTGGACAAACCTTTTGGTTTGCACTAAGTTGACAGATCTAAATATAACCCAAATAAATGCACCTATTGCATTACAACCATGATGAATTAGTTCATATTAGCATTAAAATATTTTCAATTAATTTATAAAAATTTGATTGTGAAACAAAACAAAAAAAAAATTAAATTTAAATAACAGTATAAACAATGAACACAGACAAAAAAATAAAAAAAATACCATAGTCATCCTCGTAACCAGCAGGTAGAACATTTAAATTGTATTTATCTCGCATCTTGTCACCAGGTCTGTTTCTTGTCCAAAATTTACTAAAAAAATTCAAAAATTCAAACAAAGCAAAAAAAAAAATAAAAATAAAATTAATAAGCAAGATTAGATGTATTAAAAAATAAATAACTATCATACGTAGTATGATCATTTGATCCTGAGCATAAAATATGTCCAAGAGGATGCCACTTTAAATCCCATATCATGCCATCATGAGCATTATCCATAGCTCCTAACTCTTTTTCACATCTTTAAAATAAATTACTTACATAGATTAAAGTGGTTTACTACTATTATATTTTTCATTTATTTAAATTAACATTTATTATATTACAGTTTACTTATGAAATACCAGTTATAAAAAACTTTTAGATAAAAAAACAATTTATAATGTTAAACAATAAAACATGTCACAGTTTAAAAACATGTTTTCATGGTCATCACTTTTTGCTTTAAACTGTGTATTGACAAATAATTAAAAACAACATTTCTTTTGTATATAATGATAAGTTGTTTAAAAAATCCTTTAAGTAATAAAGTTTTTTTTTCTCTTGAAAAAATTAAATAATTGTTAGATATATTTGCTGTGTTGAATGGCTTCAAATTTGTTAAAAAATTTTATAAAATCAATCATTTAGGGGTCATCTATAAAGTATGTACGCCAAATCTTCTGACCCATCAGCCACGGCACTACTAAAACCTGTTTTTTTGTGGACTCAAAAAAGGGGCTGTCTGAAATACAAGTCTGCTTTCCCTCGACTTATAATTTAATTATTTAAAAACATTTAGTTATTAACAAGTATTGTAAATTGTGATAAACTAGAAAATGAACATTACTAAGAAATGTTTTAAATTAGTGTATGTACTTTTAAATTGAACCTTCACCTCTTCCCCGATATGCTATTTGAAGAATACCCATCCCCCCTATGAGCATATGTACTTTATGGACAACCCTTTAACCATTTTCAAACAATTAAACAATAATACAAGTGTGTAGCTAATTAATAAGAACTGTGGTTTTGACGGTAATTTTTGTTTAATAAAATTTTTTGCAGTAGAGGTCATAATTAGGGAAAAACGTGGTTTAAGAATGAGTTTTTAAAATATCTTTTAAAAATTTAGCCAATTTTCAAGTTTTGCAATTAATCCTAACCATTTATTTTCTCTTATTTTTGAGTATATAATATATGTATTTAAAATTTAGATTGAAGTTATAGTAACATATAAATGTTTAAATTTAGGCTGATATTAAAGCTAGTTTAGATGATGAAACAGAAAATAAGATAAAAACTATACCCCATTAGCCAGAACATTATGGAACCATCGGATCCTCCACTAGCAAACATGTTTTCATACAAAGGATGCCAGTTTACAGCTGTAAAATAGTTACTGAATTATTATTAATGCATACAAACATATACAAAAACAAATTTTTAATAAAACAAAAAATGAAAAATTTCTGCAAAGAATTTTTTCTTTGGTTTATCTCTTGAATCTTCCAAACTTATCCAAACTTAGTGATATAGATGTTCAACAGTTAACTCACTGTTGAACATCTATATCACTCCTGCTCCTAATTAAGCTCGCTTAAAATGGTTTATCAGAGAAAATTTTAAAATTAGGGAATTATTCCTTTTTAACTGCAGTATTAATGCTGTCTTTAAAAGCCAGCACATTTCTAAAAACTTCTGGTGTACGGCAAGATTCTGTTTTATTTACTTTAAATTTTATTAAATTACTGTTGATATTCTTATATTATAAATGGCAACAATCTAACTGAAACTTTTACTGACACTTTTTAAAAGTTTAGAAGAGGCTCAGCACCAATCTTCTGTTTTATGTGAGCTCAGATTATCATTCTCTACTGACTTCTCATGGAAACCACGAAAACCTGTGCTTACTATTTTCTAACTCTTATTTCCATTAACTCTATAAATCTCCTTTTTGTCCTTGTATTTGTATGAAATACTGTTGTCATAATTATGTTGGTTCTTCTAATGAGGCCTGCTCTCTTTTAGTTCAAAAATGCGTTGTTAATGTTGTTAGCTGTGCTCTAGTTGCTAAACCCGAGCCTCTCTCATCATCATAATTCTGAAACCCTAACTTATAATAATAATGATTGGTTATTTGGTTGCTTGCAGCCTTGTATGGAGTAAATTCATTAAAAAAAAAAAAACAATAATTTTTACTGTACTTACAAGCAGCTTCCTTCTTGTGCCCTCTAAAAGTGTAAATTTCTTTCATTACACGAATATCAAAGACTTTTAATAGTCTATCACGAGAACCAGTAAGTAACCAGTTACCATTTTTATTCCAATTTAAATCCATAACAGTGCTCTTGTGTCCATGACTAAAAAATAGATTATATTTTATTTATCTTAGAAGTTAAAATTTTAATAATCTTAAACGTTAAAATTTTTTCCTCTAAAGCACAAAAATGTTAAATACATTGTAGCTAAACTGGATCCTGTACGAGGGTCCCATAACTTAAGAGGTTGTTGACTATCTTTACTTCCAGACGCTACCATACTTTTGAAAGGATGCCACCCAATACACTTTACATCTGCACCATGACCTAATGTATAAATTATTATAAAATAATATAAAATTTTCTTTATTGGGTTAAAAATTTAAGAACTTTTTTTACTTTATCTATTACTAATTCACTTTTTCCCTATTTTAAAGTTGTCACTATTGTAAAAAGAGACTACTGCTTACATTATAAAAACAAAATTATAAACTTAAAAATCTTTTATTTATAATATTTTTATGAACAATATATCATTTTAAATATGAATAAACTTAAAATTAAACAATCAGTAAATTAAAACTAAGCAATCAATAAATCATAATGTTAAAAAAAAAAGACTAAAAAAAAAAACATGTTATAAATAAATTTAAAATTATTATTCATATATAGATACATAAAAACATTTTTTGCATATTTATATGCTTCAAAGCAAAAAGGTTTACTTAAGAAAAAAATAACTGTAACAAGAGAACTTCAAACAAAATAACAGATTATTTAAATAAAAAATAACAATTATAAATAAATAAAATTGATATTTAAGCAGAGAACAGTCGGTTAATTGGGGTACAAAAAATGAAACTTTTTTTTTAAATATGTATGTGTTTTTTTGCTTTTCTGGGGTCATATTTATTTCCTGATATTTAATTTAGCTTAGTTTAGCAAGCGCTTAATTTATCTGCGCTTTTATATGCGATTTGCACTAAGCAAAAACGAAGCATTGACAATTTAGGTCTAATAATACAAACATACCACCAGATAATACACATGCAGTTAAAAAAAGGGCAAGATTACAATCATCTATAAAAGTATTGAAAACCAAAAACAAAGTATTTAAAACATAGAGATAACCTTAATACCAATTATCAGATAATACATATGCAAAAAATGCTAAACATTACTCACACTTGACAACAGTCCTCTTGCTGGATAGCAAACACTACGAGAATTACACAGATATATGTAGTGTATTTTTATAACAAATCTATTTTTGGTTGGATTCTACTTAACTGTTCTAATAGATAAGTTTAGACTTTTTATATATTATTTATTTATTATATTATTTGGAATAATATATATAAGGCACAGAAACATAGAAGAAATATTAAAGAATAAGTTCGAACAAATATTTGATTAACTGATATTAGAGACTGTTTATGACTAAGGTGTGATGGTGTGGTGCATTAGTAAGTTCTGTTTGGTCATCTAGTATGGTCTCATGTGGTTAGTATGAAAGTAGTTAGTAGAAAATTTAGTATATAATGTGGTAACTCCAATAGTATGAGAAATATTCATCTTACCTGATAAGTGGTGACGAATTCTTTCACAAAGAATAGTGAAAAAATAAACACATAATAACATATAGTAATAATAAATAGTCACATGTAGTACAATTGCAACAAAAGATCTAAGCATAGAATGGAAGAACTGGAGTTAGAAGAACCAAATAAAAATAAAAACAAGCTTTATGCAAAACACCAAAACTACAAAATGAAAATGCAAACACAAAAACACAAAAACTTCCACAAAAATAATAATGAAAAGATAATAATCTTTTGTTATTTTTGGAAAAGGAAAAAAAAAAGGTGTAAAAAAGTCAGTAAAAGCATAGTCGACTATTGTCAACTATGCTTAGATCTTTTGTTGCAATTGTACTACATGTGACTGTTTATTATTACTATATGTGATTATGTGTTTATTTTTTCACTATTCTTTGTGAAAGCATTCGTCACCACTTATCAAGTAAGATGAATATTTCTCATACTATTGGAGTTACCACATTATATACTAAATTTTCTACTAACTACTTTCATACTAACCACATGAGACCATACTAGATGACCAAACAGAACTTACTAATGCACCACACCATCACACCTTAGTCATAAACAGTCTTTAATATCAGTTAATCAAATATTTGTTCGAACTTATTCTTTAATATTTCTTTTATGTTTCTGTGCCTTATAAATATTATTCCAAATGAACGTGTATCTATGCAACATTATAAATCACAATTTGGCTACACATTAAAAAGAGTTGGTAGAAAGTCATTTTAAAATAAAAACAATGATTATCTTGTATTTAATAATAGAAAATATACATAAAGTAATCATGTTAATCATTATTCTTGATATTGGTCACTATACATATTGATACATCATATTGTGGTACATCATATTATATGTTGGTAAGTCATATTGGTACACATATTGGTCACCAACTTGGTATGAGTAGCAATATCATGTTAGAGACATCAAGAGTTCAGAAAGAATTCAGCAAAAAAACTTTTAAGTTAATTTTTCAATATTGAAACTGCTATAAAAAGACTTAAAGTGCTAAGACTTAATACTCTGACAGAAAGAAAGATAAGATACAACAGTTTAAAACAGTATGTGGGATTGATCTCAATAGTATCACCCACTAAAGTCCCTTCCCACCTTTGCTTAAAATAGACCAGCTGGTGTTACCTGTGGTCATGCTAACCTTAATAGCATAGCATTGTGAACAGAGTTGCAATTTCTTTAACAATCAGGAACTGGTAATTGCCAAAACAAACTATTTATGCTTTTATTGAGGATTAAACAGTTACAAAAATGGATATGATCAATATGTTGTGAAATAAAAACACTACAACCAGATATTATATAATTTAGAATGTGACATGTATGTATGTAAGCTTATAAAATTCATATATTTGAACTCATAAAATTCATATATTTGATTTTTGCAGCTGGTTAAAGAATTTATTAAAACCGATTGAAAAAAATATTTTTAGGTAGTTATTTTTAATCACTTAATATTTTTTTAAAATTACACAACATAACAAAGTTTAAAACTATATGACTAACAGTGACAACACATTCAGATAAAATTAAATGTTTTTCAATATATTTTCTTTTTCACTGGCACAATTATCACTACAATCAATCAAAACCTTCTAAATGATGTTTTATCTTTTTAAACTCATTTATTTTTTAATTTGTCTTTGGTTTGTTTATTGTTGAAAAAAATACATTCTTTATCCTCTAAGTCACTACAATTTCCAACCAATTCAATTTATAATAATTATAAAAGAACACTAGAAATTTACAACTAGAGCTTTGATGACATTTTTAATTAAAGAATGTTTTAAATAACTTATGTTTTAATTAAAAATCATTTAAATAACTTGAACATCAAATGACAACAGTTTATTTTACTATTCAATTCAATTTCAAGATTTTATTTAATATACTTGAACTTTTGTTTTTACCAACATATTCATGTTTTTATTAGTATATTTCATTAATATGATTTTTATCATTAAAAAATTTTTCATGCAAATCCTAATCGAATTCATTGTGTTTTAAAACACATTAAATAAATTTATCAAGCCATCAAATATCATTAAAGATAAATAAAAAACTGATTTAAACCAATAAAATTAATCTGCAAAAACAGATAGCTAGTGCAAAAAACTGACAAATGGCTCGCTTAACTTGCTATGTCCGTTTTAATTGAGCTTTTCCATTTATTCCCACACACACACATTTCGAGCACAATTCAAGCCCTGACATATTTTAAGATGTTGATCACAGAACCCAGTACAATCACCCTATTTATCTAGATAAAAATACATTTAATACCTCGTAGAATCCTTTCTTCTTGACATCTGTAAAAGTCCCATAGTTTGATCAGTCCATCATCAGAACAAGTGACAAATTTATTATCTGTCGGACAAAAACTAAATTAAAAATTCTACTTTTATTTATTTACAACTAAAAGAAAAAATAAAATAGTTAAATTATGCAATAAGTAAGTTATGCAACATGTGAATTATTACTAAAATTACCATAAAAAGTTTTAACCAGCTTATATTTGTTCAAACTAATAAACAAAATAACTTATTTCAGTATAAATAAGGTTTTTTTATTCAATATGTCTGTTTTTAAAAAAGTAAATATTTATTTTTACTTATATATTCTGATTTGCTTTTTTGTTTTAGTGTTATGCTTTTTTTTTTTGTTAAAGCAATTAATAATTTTTGTTCAACTAAGCAAAGTTAACTTAGTAAAGTGCCTGGGCAACATTTCTGTCATAAAAACATTTTAATGAGTTGGAAACAATTCATTTGAAATTTAATAATATTGATTGACCTGAAAATATTATTGATATCAATTCTAACCACTACACCTTAGATGTGATATTATGCGACATTACTGACCAAAAAGCTATCAGGAATATTCATTTGATAAATAAAAAAAATCTGTTTTTTCTATAAAATAACTTTATTAAACACATTTCAACACATCTACCATAAATTTCAACATACCTCCCATAAAAATCAAATAATTCTCACAAAGTTAGCTTTATTATAAATAGAAATTTGACAAGAAACAACTTATATAAGTCAACATTGATGTCTTTGAAGTAACAGCCTCCCAGCAATATCTTTTGGATAAAAAACTAAACGAATTGTAATGACAAAAAAAAATCACAAACCATTTATGTCAAACAGTGTATACGATTAATGATCAGCTTGCTGTCTGATTTTACAAGTTTTTGTTGTTTTTTCTTGCTGCTTGCTGTTTATGTTTAAATAGATAGCCCAATCAATCACTCAAAACAAAAATAAATCCTCATTGTCTAAAGTCAAAGACGATTCAGCTTTGTTTGCTATAAATATATTTCATCTCAGAATTGCAGCTGAAAAACGATTGAGTTGTGAATATTTATAAAAACTGCTTATGTAATTTAGTGTATAACTACCAACCTTTACAGTACTTATTTTAAACTGCATCAAATTTTTTTTTCTAAAAAAAAGATTCTACTTGATTTCATTTTTGACTTTGAAAATCTTATTTTATTTTTGGCATCTTATCTTTTAGCATACATTAAAAATCTAATTATAATTATATTTTAATTAAAAACTTTAAAAATATAATAGTAATTAAAAATAATACTCTTAAATATTGTTTAAAGAGACTACAAACATTTTCTTAAAACTGACTACAATCTGGGTTTTAAAACTGTCAAATGTTATGGTTACAAACATTTAGAAAACGAGAGATCCAGGATAGAATTTATGAAGCAGTTTACAAGAAATGACTAGCAGCAGTGTTACTTCAACAACAAGAAGCTGTGGGTGCTAAAACTTTTTGAAAAATGTAGTCATTTTTTTCCAGAAAGTTGTAAATTTCTAGAAAAAAAAAAAAAAAAAAAAAAAAAAAAGTTATGATATTGACACAGACATGTTTATAAAAGCTGCCAATAAATGATTGGATGTTTATAAAAGCTGATAAATGATTGGATGTTTATAAAAGTTGCCAATAAATGATTGGATGTTTATAAAAGCTGCAATTAATTAATTGGATTTATATATTTTTATTAAGGTGCTCCATGAGGACCTTATCACAGAGCACAACACAAGAGCATTTATCCAGGAATTTCCTGGATAGCCTCCTTCCTTACCAATTTGAAATGAGCCTGCACTGAACTTCAAACTTCTAGGTTTTGAGCCAGGACTGTGATCAGTGCGTCACAGCAACTCATAACTTTTTAATAACAATGATAGGGTTGGGTGGTATGCCTTAAGCCCAAGTATTCATAAATTCACAAAGAACTCACATGATATTATAGCGACATTGTCATTACTAATCAAAATACTGTTTGAAAAACAAGCAGAGACCAATAAAAAAAGATATTCCTCAAAACAGGCTCCACCATTCTCAAAAAATCCCTTAAAGCAAATTTTTCAACACTTTTCAAAAGGATTAGAGAAATCTAACTCTGTTACTTTGAATCATTTTTTTATACGAAAGAAATTAATTTTATCTATTTCCAAAACAGATTTTAAAATTTTAAATGATATTCTATTTAGAATTTAATTATAAAATTTAATAAAAAATTTAATTCTAAAATTAATTTAATTTGCTCAATTCAATTAATTTTATTTCAAATTTAAATTAATTTTTTTGGGTGAAATTAAATGATTTTGAATCTGTCTGAAATCTAAAAATAACTGAGCAACTTCCCTGAACAGAGGCATTCAAACCTAAAACAAGACAAAATTTACAACAGGTGATGCATAAGTTATTGAGCAAAATAAAAATAAAATTTACATTATTAGGCTTTTGTTCTATAATAAAAAAATTTTTCTAAAATCATTTTTGAAAAAAAAAAAATTAATTTTTTATTAAGTTTTAAAAACCTATCATTTGCATTAGATCTCAATTTTAGTTTGACACCTTTTATAATTGACAGAAAAAAATTAAATTAACTTATTTTAGATTTAATTTGATGCAATCAATCAGGACTTGTTCTGTTGAAGCTTGCCAACCTCTCTTGTGAACTTTTTGTGTCAAATGTCCCAAAAAGTTAAATACTTCACTGCTTATTTAATTGGTCCTGTAGTATTACTTCTTGATTATTATTATTAGGAGACTTTTGATTAAAATAATTTTGGTTAATAAACTTTCAACATTTCCATACCATAGGCAAAACTCTGCTTTCAAAATGTTCTTATGGTTCCCACCCACGCAGGATGGTTCCCACCCACGCAGGATTTAGCTCTTATTTCAGTCATATGGATGACTAAACAAACACCTAATATTATTGTTTCTTTTCAAATTCATTTTGTTTAAAAATTTAAAAAATTTAAAAAGTTCTTCTTAGATTTATTCACCTTCATATTTAAGTCTCCTTTGAGTCAAATTATTGCAAATTCCTTTGCATACGATTTACTGGTGTTGAATAATAGCTCAGTGGTATCAATGATAAAATAAATGGCCATGGATCTCTAACTTCTGAGACAAGCGCGCTAATCACTGCGCTAAGGCTGCTCAATGCATTATGATACTCCACTCATAACTATCCTCAAATAAGATACATATTAAAAACACTTATTGAAATCTGTTACTCAGAAAAGATTCTATAATTGGATACATAATCTTTTCTGAGTATATAGAAATAGTAGGATATAGAAATAGTAGGTTGAAGTTGGTTCATTGAAAGATTTAGTTTGGCTACTTAAAATAATAATCGAGAATGTGGAGAAGGGGGCTTCATAGTTTACTAATTGCACCAACAAACGATTTAGTAACAACATGTATTTTATCAAGACAAAAACAACAGCAAACTTTTTTTATTTTACTCAGTGTTCTTCTTCTTTATCCTTTTCTAAAGAACTTAAGTCAGCTGTTATCATAAAACGTGTGAGTGTGTGTGTGTGTGTGTGTGTGTGTGTGTGTGTGTGTGTGTGTGCGTGTATGTGTGTATTTATTCCTAAATCTTATTTAAAGTCACATATTTAAAATATTTTATAAATCTTATTTGAGGGCCACATTATTAAATACATTTAAAAATTTCATTCAGGGTCAAGTTATCGAATTAATAGGTTCAATATCAGAAATTATCATAAAGGCCTTAAATTGTAATTTTTAATACCTTAATAATAATTAGAAGATTTGATCAAATCTGACGGAATAATTTCAGAATTTTTAATGGTACAAAGATGTTTATAACTATGTGGTTTTTGCACATTTAAATGTTTTTGTAAATTAAAAAAACAGGCTTCTTTAATTTTACTATTCCTAAGTGAAAGTTTATTAATTTAAACTTAAAAAAGTAAAATTATTATTTAACTTTAAAAAATGTGTGAAGGAAACACCCACGCACAATTTTATTTCAAGTTTTATTACAAGATCAATAAAAATTAACATAACTTTTATTACAAGTTCAAAAATATCTTGATGAAACACTTGTTGAATATTCTATAAAATGATTTTACAAGTGTTTTAAGGTAAACTAAAAAAGTCTAACAAGATCTAACCCTACACCAAAACAAACTCTTTTTGTATTGCAATTACAATTATTCGCATAATTTAAATTTCAACTAGCAGGGAATTTCTATACAAAAAAAAAACAACAACCAAGAAACATAATTATTTTAAAAACTTAAATTTCTTTATAAATTTCTTTACAAAACTTTCAAAGATTTGTTTTTTATTTTAAAAAAATAGGAAAACTTTTTAAAATGTTAATTGTTAGTTGCAAGCTTCAGTTTTTTCAGTTTCAGTTTTCAACCCAGAAATATACATTCATGGCATCTATTATCTTCAATATAAGAATTCCATATTATAAATTGACAAAAGCTTAGAAAAGTCTTGCATCAACATAAACAAGTCATTGACTACTTGATTCCACTCTTTGATGACATAAATCATTTAAATTTATAATCTCATGAAATTACTAAGATGGTATCAGACATATCACACTCATCCTACTGGTAAGTTAGCTTTGAGCTCAATATTCTCAGTTTTGATGGCGTGTTGTGACCATACCTTTTATATGCTTATACATCACCATGTCAGTCTTAATAACACAACAACAACAAAGACCTCACCTCACACCACGAATAGGATCTGTATGGGCTTGCAGCATTTTAACATTGTTCATATTACTCTGCCAATACTTTATCACACCATTATGATCACCAGAGAGCAACCACATGTCATTATGACTCCACTCCATGGCGCGCACAGATGACTCATGAGCCTAAAAGAATTTAGAAAAGATAAATTCTCAATTTTTTTTTTAAACAAAATAACAACTTTGTTGGAAAAAAAGAAAGAACCTGAAGAATAGTTTCAAAATTAAATGTTAGGCCATTCCACAATGTGAACTCTCCACTACTTGTACCTGTTACTACACGCCGCCCTTCTGGAGTCCACTACCAAAAAAAGTGCAAACAAAGATATTTTACAAGCCAAAAATAAGTACCAAATAAAAAAAAATATATATATATTGAAAAAAAACTTTATAAGTAACTAAAATAAGAAAATTAACAACTTACAGCTACCGAAAACACTGGGCACCTGACTTTGTTGGTTGAAGCACGAACAAATCTAGTTGTAACGGCGTTCATAGGATTATCAAGAAGAGTACATGGCTGAATAAGCTGAATTTCAACATTTATTAAAATAAAATAACTTTATTCTAGAGACAAACTGCTCCATGTAAACTATTTCAAAAGCAACGAATTAACAAGTGCTGTTCCAACAAAATCATGTTTTATATATATATCAGTGGTGTACACTGGATTTTTAGATGTTTGAGTTTTGACACTTACAGGCATTGTGCAAACTTTACACTTTTGTATATTCATGCTTATGTCAAATGAGAATGTTTTGCAAAGAGTTGCCATGGTTGGAGCTAGGGGACAAAAAAATCCCAATTTTTAGGCCCACCCAGCCCTTAAAGTGGGGGCAACAAGTTTATAAAATATTTTCTTTAGCATTTTTATCTAAGTTTGTATTCATCAACAAATTTCAAATTTCATGCAAAAACCACTTAGTGTTAAGTTTTTATGACCCTACAAAATCTACAGCCCCCTCTAATTAAGGGTGTTAAAACTTTATATGGTCATAATTTTCGAAAAATAAGAGATTATTTCATGAAACTAGAAATTTGTTGATGAATATAAACTTAGATAAAAATACTAAAGAAATGATTTTATAAACTTGTTGCTCCCACATTAAGGGCTGGGTTGGCCCAAAAATTGGGGTTTTTTGTCCCAAAGCTCCAATTACCGCAACTCTTTGCAAAACATTATCATTTGATATAAGCATAAACATTTAAAAGTTTGGAGTTTGCACAATGCCTGTGTCAAAACCCTAACATCTAAAAATCCAGTGTACACCACTGTATATATATATATATATATATATATATATATATATATATATATATATATATATATATATATATATATATATATAAAATAACACACTCACACACACATATATGTAAAATATATATATATATATATATATATACACAAACATTACTCTTATGACTTACATTTATGGACCACAGTTATTTATTAATAGTAAGGGAAGTTTTTGTAACTAGGGCCAGGTTTTTAATGTCCAAATTTAAGACCCCAGACTTGTCTGAAAGTGGTGAAATTTTTAATATTTTATTAATATATATAATTTAAATCATTATATATATATATATATATATATATATATATATATATATATATATATATATATATATATATATATATATATATATATATATATATATATATATAATGATTTAAATTATAAATATCTGTCATGTAGAAGGGTTTAAAAATTAGTGGCCCTAAGTAAAATTTGTACCTAGGGCCACTAGTTATTGAACTTAGGGCTGAAAATTAGGTTTAACTCCATAATAAATTGACAACAAAGATTAATTTGATTTGATTTTAATTTGATTAAAATTTATTTAATTTTAGATTGTTTACAAAAAATTTATCTAGCGTTACTTGATTGCTACATTTAAAAATAGCAAAATTGACTAATAGTTCTGTGCAATATTGAAAAATAAGCCTACGCGTAAAATGGTAATCCCAAAACAACTGTTAGAAAAAGAAAAAAAACAAAACCAGTTAAAATTCAACAACCTACCTTATTATCAAATAAATTCTTTACACACATATGGCCCTAGGTACATGCAAACTATATGATCCTTGGCACAAGACTTAACAGCCTCATAAAAAATGTCATCTTTTAACAAACCCGGATTGAGAAGAAACTGATTGAACATGGCATATAATACTTAAGTAACAAATAATATAGTATACAAGAACTTATAGAAAAGAATTTCCTAAAGGATTGTAAAACAATCTCCTCAAGGATTGTAAAACAATCACAGCAGCAAAAATTTACTTTTATATCAAGAAGTGTTTTTCGATTAAAACTTGCATAGTAACGCTGAGAATCAAAATAGGCTTAAAAAATAAAAAATTTTATTACTTATCACCTGACTGAAAAGCATAACTTAGAACTTTATAGTTTTTAAATAAAGTGGGGTGGCCCTAGGTAAACTTGCCCTAATATACATTTATAGTTAACAATTATTTATAATAATTATTAATGTTTATTTCAAAATATTAATGTTTTACAACTTTTAATGTCACTGAGATTTTGTAGAAAATGTAAAAAATTTTCAACTAAACCTTTTTAAATTTTAGTATTCTCACAATCACATTTTAATATCCACTTTATCACAATCTAATTTAAGAAAAGTTAATTTATTTAGTAAATATTTTTAAACATATGAATACTTACCTCAGGATAATACAATGGGTCTGGTTGACTAACAGGTCGCTGCAAAACTGATCTGCGGAAAAGTCGGTACTGGAAAAAAGAACAATTATTTTAAAGTTTCAAAAACATTCTTAAGTTTTTAAAAATAATTTAAGAATTAAATTACAGTGTCTATACCAAAAATTCAATGTTTTAATTTTTATATCTTATATATAAAAGACTGAAGTGTAAATATGTAGAGATAAGTTAAAATACCAACATGTAAATATGTTGCCTAGTTGTCAAGTATTTTCTAAGAATAGGGACAAGACCAACGATATTTTGATACTTTTATATAGTTTCATTTAAAATATGTTTTAGCAAAAAGTTTACCTTAATTTGTTGAATAGTTGAAGCATTATAGTCTACTGTCCTGCGTTGTATAGACCGCCGCATACGCTTTCCATCAAACTCGTTGGAACCAGAATTAATATTAGCTGATAAATGAACTTGGGCACCGGCAGGACGAACCAATTTTATACCTAATATGAAATATGCATAAAAGCATTTTTATTAGAAATTTAAGATTTATCATTATTTAATGTATTATAATATATATATATATATATATATATATATATATATATATATATATATATATATATATATATATATATATATATATATATATATATATAAAATATATATATATATATATATATATAATATATATATATATATATATATATAATATATACATATATATATATATATATATATATATATATATATATATATATATATATATATATATATATATATATATATATATATATATATATATATATATATATATATATATAAATTATAAAAGTTATTTAATGTATTATACATTTATTTAAAAAAATAAAAGAATGTTTAAACCTTGATAATAAAACACTGAAAAGGCTTTTACAATATTGCTGACATTTTTGTCCATGTTTGCATAAATTTTTGATGTATATAGTATACATTAAAAATTTATGCAAACTTTGTGGACAAAAAAATTTTTTTAGTCTATATATATTTTAGTATTAAGGTTTAATTATTTTTTTAAGGATTGACTAAACCTTGACAAAAATAAAAAAAGATAAGTTTGCACCCAGCATTTAAAAGAGGAAATACAGTGTATATAACAACATGAGATATGTAACAAATAAAATATTACATAAATCTACTAATGTTCTCCTATATGCTTCAACAAGGAGCTTGTATATATTGATGTTTACTACAGCTGAGTCACTACGCATTCTAATTTTTTAATTATTTTATAATAAAATTATAACAAATGACTAAATAATTGCTTCATCTTTTTAGCCATTCATCAGACTCTTTCAGTGATATCACTTTTTTGAGGTGTACCTTAACATTTCAAGAGTTATATTTCTTTAATCCTAAATACTTGTAATAATTAAAAAAACTTCTATAGATATAACTAGTTATTAATTTTCTAATACAATATATCAAGGGAGTTTAGGTACTGGTAATCTAAACTCTCTAGAAATTTTATTTTAAAAAATTAACAATAGCGTTATATCCATTTTTTTTCTTTCTTTATATAAAAAGATAAACTCTTTTTAAGATAAATAATTTTTTTGTTTATATGTAATATGTAATATGTAATTATGAAATGTTTTTTAATTTTTTTAATAAAATTTAGTCATTTTAACAAAACAAACGAACAAAAAAAATGAAATATCAAAAGGACAATAATATAAAATAAAATTTAACGTGTACCATTTTTTAGCTAATACCTTTTTTTTTTGTTTTGTTTTTTAAATTCGGTAATTATTTTTGTTATTGTTTGTTATGAGAAATAGTCTAAATAAATATTTTTGCGCCTGCAAGATGATAAAAAAATGTTTTTTTTTTTAATTTCTTTTATGATTTCTTTTTTTACAACTCATATAACATCCTTTTTTTTCTTGTGCTCAATATTTTTAATGGAAACTTAGGTTAATAAAAATAAAAAATATACTACTTTTATCTTACCGCTTAAACAATATCTTTAGACTTGTTTAAAAATTATTATTAAGTGGCTCAACTGAAATGACTTACTGCTTATATTAAATGGCTCAACGTAAATGTAAATGGGGTGCCACTTTATGTTTCAAAACAAGGCCTGATAAATATATATATATATATATATATATATATATATATATATATATATATATATATATATATATATATATATATATATATATATATATATACATATATATATATATATATATATATATATATATATATATATATATATATATATATATACATATATATATATATATATATATATATATATATATATATATATATATATATATATATATATATATATATATATATATATATAATTGCGTACTAAGGTAAGCAATCTGACATCATACTGAAATAGCCTGCTGCCGGGGGCTTCAGTACATACATTGACTGACAAATAGCATGACTCGCAGTGGAGTGCTGCTACATAACCTAAGGGTTTTGGGATAGGGCAGCAATCTTTTTAAATTCTCATTCATTATTCTTCATTTTCTTCTTTTTTTTCTAAAAAAGTTGTATGGATTAAGATAAGCGAAAAAAGTGAGCAAATGCTTAAAAAAATACGCTATAGTAAGTGTGTGTATATATATATATATATATATATATATATATATATATATATATATATATATATATATATATATATATATATATATATATATATATATATATATATATGTACATATATGTATATATAAATGTATATGTCATACTGACCACGGAAAGTATATTTAGTTACAAAAAACTGGCAAGGTTTTTTAGTCGTTTTGAGTACATTTAAGTTAATGTACGAAACAAAAAAATTTTGTTTTGCGGACATACATGGAAACATAATAAACTTGAATGTTTTCAAAACATCTTTGTGCGAAAGAATAAAAAGAATATTTGCGAAAACTAAAAACCCGCCAAATTATCAAAGAAACTAATTCTATTGGTTCAAAAATACGCCGACTTAGCAAAATAAAGTTCTAGAGTATTCTGTTGAAATGTTTTAGAAATTGTATTATTCACGATTTGTTATGTTTTGACATATCTAGTTTTCTTGTTTTAAAAATATATATTAATTGTTTACAAAAATAAATATTTTAAATATATATTAAATTGTCAAAATTTCAAAAGTTTATTATAAATTATAGATTTTATTAGTATATTCTTATTTTTTATTTAAAAAGTATGTATTCTTTATGTAAATATAATTTTGTGTATCTGTTTTTTATCGTAATGTATCTTTTAAAGCAATTTTTATGATTTAAACAAAGACTTACAAAAATAATTGTGTTTTCAATGAAGTTATAATCATTATAGTTAATAAAACTAATTATGTAACAAACATATAAGAAGTTTCTGGTTACTAAACACAAACAACACATACAAAGTAACTCGCGCATGAACAAGCACTGAGTCTGAGGTCACGACAGAACACAAATATATATAGCAAATAATTAGATATAAAGAAAAGTTTCTACATATTGGTTTACTAACTCTAATTATCCTTTTTAAACAATCGTAAGTTGTTATCCTTTTTGTTTCCTTTTTAAACAATCGTAAGTTGTTACTTTATATAAAAAACATCGCTTAATTTTATAAAAAAAATTATAAAAGAGCGATGTTTCTAAAATATTTGTTCTAAACGTAATTTATTTAGCTTTAAGTTTTTTTGCGTTTAAAGATATTTTATTTGCCTAATTTTTTTTTGCAATTGTCTCTCATCGGTCCAATTAATCTTTTGCGCTTTTTTTTTTTGCTTTTTCAAATGTTCTCAAAACGACTAAAAAATCTGGCCAGCTTTTCACTAATATTATTTATATTATATATATAACTAAATATTATTTATATTATATATATAACTATATTTATATATTATATATTAAATATTATATATATATATATATATATTATATATTATATATTAATATACTTATACTAATATACTTTTATTATATTATATATGCATATATTATATATATATATATATATATATATTATATATAATTATATTATATATATATTATATATTAATATACTCATACTAATATACTTTTATTATATATATATATATTATATATATCATATATATTATATATAATTATATTATATATATATATTATATATTAATATACTTATAATAATGTAATAATATACTAATATACTTTTATATTATATATTAAATATTATAATATATATATATATATATAACTAAATATTATTTACATGGTCAGCAATCGAGAGCGATTGCTCCCGCTTCCCGACCAAGCCTGATATGTATATCAGTGGTGTACACTGGACTTTGAGATGTTTGAGTTCTGATACTTACAGATATTGTGCAAACTCCAAACTTTTGTATATTCATACTTATGTCAAATGAGAATTTTTTGTCCCCAAGCTCCAATCACCACAACTTTGTGCAAAACATTTTCATTTGACATAAGCATGAACATACAAAAGTTTGGAGTTTGCAAAATACGTGTAAGTGTCAAAACTCAAACATCTAAAAATCCAGTGTACACCACTGTATATGTATATGTCTATGTATATATATATGTATATGTATATATATATATATATATATATATATATATATATATATATATATATATATATATATATATATATATATATATATATATGACTTATTTGGTTAAAAATACTCCTTAGGTATATAAAATCTCACAATATATTGGACCAAAAATGATTAAATTTTAGACTGTATGAGTAAAATTCAAATATCTTATGTCCGAAAAAAGTTCTTAATTCTTAAGGTGTATACATAGTCTTGCTCGAGTTTAGATGGACTTAATCTTAAGTCTATCTAAACTTAAACAAGACTATCTTATGTTAACCTAAATTATTTTTAATAAAGAAAAACAAATCGAACTTATTAAGAACACGTTACTAAATATACCAGGTGATAGTTATTAAACAGCTACATTCTGAATATTATTCAGAATTCTATAACTCACCACATGTAATAATTCTTTTTCTACAATGAAATAATTCCGAAAATCGTCAAAGGCTTTTTTTCGAAACAATGTATTTATTTTTATGCATGAATTTTTGATTGAGCTACTGTAAAAAGTTTGTTATTTTACATACATGATGTTGTTAGTTTATTTAAAAACTATATTTTTTTAAGTTAATAATATGACATCAGTTACTGTTGCAACACGTATTTGTATTGATAAAGTTGATAAGACTTATATTTTTTTTAGCTCCAAATGCACAAATAGTTAATAGCAGATTAGTTAAAAATGATAAATATAGTGCATTGTATGTCAGTTTATTTATAGTAAGTATTTACTCTACTAAATAATAACTTTGAGGCGTAATTTATGCTTTACAGAAACTATGTTTTCCTCTCCTAAAATAATAAGAATAAAATTCTAAGGATCAATTCAATGAGATGACTTCATTACATTTTATATTGTTTTACAGGATGCAGTAAATGACCCAATGCAGACCATAA